TTCCATCCATGTAAACAGGAAGGAGGTAAAGTGTCCATCCTTCTTTAGGGCTGCATAATATTCCATGGTGTACATATACCACAATTTATTAATCCATTCATGGGTTAATGGGTACTTGGGAGATCTTCTGTATCTTGGAGATAATGTTTACATCAGTCATAAAGAACTTTTTTTGGAGCAGCATAATGTTCCATTGTATGAATATATACCAAACTTTATTTAAATAGCTCTTTATTAATAGGTAATCAAATTATTTCTAATATTTTGCTATTATTAACAAGGCTGCAATGAAAACTTTCTGCCATTTTGTACCTGTGGAAATGTATCTGTAGAATAAGTGACCTGACATGGAATTCTGAATCAAGGAAATTAAAGGGTGCATGTGTGTATTATTTTTCTTAATCTCTTTCCTTAGCTCAAAGATTCTCTTTGAATCTGACTTAATTGTTTTACCTCCTGAATCACATGATCCATGTTTTCTTAACTTTTTTTAAAACTTCAAAGCCAACGTGTTCTGGTTTTTTTTTTCTTTCCTCAGAAAATGTTCTCCCGAGTGTACTCTAGCTTTATCTTTTGGTGCTTTGTTCCTCTCCCACTTCCAACCTTTCCCCCTGGATTTTTGGCATAGCTCCTCTGCTATTTCCAGCTGGGTTATTTCAATCTGTGATTATTCCTTGACCCAAAATAATCTGTGTTCCATATTCTTAACACTCCTATTTACCTATCACAATTTAAGTTATTGTTTATACTTACACTGGTGCAAGTAGTATTTTAATGGTTGTGTTTTTTTTTTTAATATGTGGATTTTTTTTTATTTCTTATAGCATAACTATGTACATTAATGCAATCATGGGGTACAGTGAGCTGTTTTCATATACATTTTGAGCTGTGGTCTTATAATAAATGAATATATTCAGTTCTCTTCTCATTTTAACTGTATTTGATTTTTTTGGGGGGGGCAGTTTTTGGCCACGGCTGGGTTTGAACCCACCACCTCTGGCATATGGGGCCAGTGCCCTACTCCTTTGAGCCACAGGTGCTGCCCTATTTGATTGACTTTTAACATGTATGTTATTCACATTTTAATGTTTCTGGAGTCAGGATGTAATACTAATTGTTCAAATCAAGATCGTTATAGCACTTCCCAAAGGAAAAAAAGATTTTTTAAAAATAGTGAGTCTCACAATTGGTAAATACGGTATTATATTTCCTGTCATTCCATATGTGCTCTCAAGCAGAGAGTGTATGTTGAACTTCATGGATACTTTTTAAGTTGGTCTGAAGTGTTGTACCTGACCAAAGAGCCTCTGAAATTTGTGTTTGTTCTCTAATGTCAGCATACGCTCTACTTTTCTATTTTTCTTTTCTTTTTCATTTGAGTTTTGCTATGACACTTAACCATCATTCCTGAAATGTTTCTCACTCAGTCTTCAAAGAGGAGTATACAAATTTCCAAATGATTCTGAGGATATTCAAGATCTTCCAACATCTCTTTCTGCTAAGATTTGCCAGAGTGAATTCTGTTTTCTAAGAGTGAGCCCTAAAAGATGTAGGTGCAACTGTTATATATGTGGTAAACACAATAGGTAAAAAGCCTATGCATGCACATGATTGTAATAAAAACTCAAAAGAAGGAAGGCACATAAATCTGTAGCATTAGAATTTCTATGTGGACCTCATTTGGAAACCAGTGTTAATTTAAACGATACGTTAATTTGAAAGAATGCTTTGGCGTATGCTCATCTTTAACGGAAAGGCTTCAGGGAAACATGATAAAACAAGCCAAGACTCTAATAACCTCACATTCAAGAACTTTATTAACAACAGACCAGGGAAATAGTTTTATTCTATCTTTACAACAACTTTTGTGCAGCCTTCTCCTAATTAAGATAAATTAAACATAGGCTTGTTTGGTTCTTCTCATCATTTTTCAAAAATAATAAACTTATACATTATTTGTAAAACCTGTTTTATACATTAGAAACAAGACATAACTAAATATTTTTCAAGCTAAGTTGGGGCAGTTTTTTGCCTATGTGGAAAAAAAAGGTCAGAAGCCATTCTTTTAAGTTTCATTACAAGAAAAAATTAACTAAACCACTCAAACTAAAATCTCTAAGAACACTGAAAAGACATGTCAATGTAACATCCCTGAAACTCCAAAAGAATCTGGGCCAAAGGCAAATTTGTGAGCCAACAGATGCCAAAAAGGAGGCTAAGACAGGAAGCTGGTCATTTTCTCTCTTCACTGAACTTAAATTTTCCATGAACTATACCATGTATTCTATCACATGCAAACCCCCAAAACAAGATCATACACTCTTTTAAACCCATCAACATGAGACTCTGGAATTAGAAGCACTGGAGATGAAGCTGGAGTAGACTGTTACTAGTGACACCTGATCTGCTCTTTCATGTGATTCAGATTTTCATAGGTACTGTTGCAAAAAGAGTACAAACTTCAAATAAAGGAATAGCGTGCCTTTCTGAGGGAAAGTAATTGGTTGTAAGTAACTGGTTTATGATGGATTAAAGATGTAGTGCTCTAAGATATTTTTAAATTCTTCACTTCCAACTCCTTTGCAGGACCATAGTGCTATGGAAACAGATGTCTTACTCCCAGATTTAATATCTCCCACGCTGTTAATGTAACATGAGTATCACTTACACACTAACTAATCAACAAATTTCTCTCAACTTGCCTTTTGACTCCTAAAATCTTGATCTCTTGATGTCTTACATGTTATTCCATCATACACAACCCTCTTGATTTTCCAAACAAATGGGCTTGTGGGCACTGTGTGGGTTGTATTGGAAGTCCATAGTCTCAGGTTGAATGATATGATTGTGTTGGTTTAAGGCCCACCTTTAAAAAATTATCATGAAATACATAGGTATACAAAATGTAGACTATCATTAAATCCACATCTGTATTTCCATTACCTAAAGATATGAAACATTACTGATAAAATTGAAGTACCCCAACTTGTCTCCCATGAGGAAATTCCTCCCTCATATTTGGTATTTTTCTTTCTCATCTTGTAGTGTTTCACTATAAAGTCCCCGTAAAGACTGTGTATTATATTTTATGCTTTAAACTTTAAATAAATGTTGTGGTCGGGTGTTAGCTGTTGGAATCCTCTCTGGCTGAGACGAGGATATTCCTTTAACTAGTTTAACTGCTAGTCACCCCAAGGATGTTTCTTGATCAGAGCCATGTTTTCATGTCAATTTCTAGGTTTTGAAGGTAGTCTGAATTCAAACCTTGATTTGAACAGGTAAGCCCACTGTCAGAAATCTCAGTGGGGCCTCTTTTTTATTTCTTAAATCCAAAGCATAGGACAAGTCAGAGAATTTCCTGTGGTCTTCCTAGCCAATGAAAGAATTTCTTTTCTAGTCTACCTTATACGGAGTTGGTCACTGAGGATTTGGGCATTATGTGCAAGGTTCAATTATAGCTTTCTATGTCATATGTGCTGAAGACTTTGAGTGGTCATTAACATCTGAACTCCTTGTTGATTGAGACTGTTAACCTCCTCAGCTCCTAGCATCAGCGTCTTTTCAACTTATGCTTCTGGTTTTCATTTTGTTGGGAATGAAATTTAAAAAATTTTCTTGATTAGTCCTTTGAGGATTAGTTTTTCTCCTATTTTCTAGTGTCCTCAGCCTTACATTTAATAGGAAAGAAGTTAAGGTCCTCTTTTTTAATTGAAAATGAAGAGCAAAAAGGTAATTTTGAGGTCCTGTAATTCACCGTGAAAGTCTTCATGTCCAACAGAACTTTCTTTATGATGGAAATGTTCTATAATCTATTCTTTCCGGTATGGTCGACCCTTGTCACATCAAACTAAGTATTTGAAATGTGGCTAATATGTCTGATAAACTAAAATTTTTATATTATTTAATTTTAAATAATTTAAATAGCCACATATATTTAGTCATTATTATATTTGACAATGTAGTTTTAAATAGTAATATTCTTTATATCGTGGGTGGTTTAATTCTGATAGCCATAGGAGGAAAGAGATGAAATGTAACTCCAGGTTATCTGCCACCACAAAACTGTATAGCTGTTATTTTGATTATCTAGTATTTCTTGTCTGACTTGTCTGTCTTGGAATTTTCAAAGATCTGTAGTGACCAAGTTTAAGTGAACATTCTTTCCCTTGCCAGCTTCTGATCTGAAAGTCAGAGAATCATGTTCCAAAAGCTTTTTCAAGGGTATTTATGGAATATTGAAGTGTCAAGAAATCCTAAGATAAAATAATTAGGAGTATAAATACACATATTTAGAATGCAACATAAGATGATATGATTAAGAGTATAATTTGGTTTATCTTTGAACCAAAAAGTTTACTGGTAACTTGAAAATATGTACAAGTTAAAACATGAACTCTTCGTATGATTTATTAATAGCACTTTATGGAAAGAACCTCTGCTCTAGGCTTAGACTGGGCTTACACTTAACTCTTAACTTTAAAATTTTTTTTCCATAGGCAGAGGTTAAGAAAGCTAAAGCGGAAATGCATGTGCGAACTGTGATGAAAACTTATATACATATTTGGAAATAGGGTCACATAAGCCTGGCTGGTACATTTGGCCATTACATTGGTTGGCCTTCAAAAATCAAATTGTAAGTATTTTTTACCATGCATTTATCCATATACATGTTCTATGTTCTTATGTAAAATTGATGCCCACAAGTTTGGCATTTAGGAAGACACTGAAACAGATTCTGGAGTAACAAAACCATTTCATGGGATGAACAGACCGGGTCAAAATTGAAAAAGCTAAATATTTGCTTTTTAAAACTCACGACACATTTTCAGATAAAATGGATTCAAACCCATGTCCTGAGTTAGAACCATGTATACATATAATTCAAAATATCTATAAGAACTGAAGCCCTCTCAATTCCAGTGAACATATTTCAGATATTTTGCCTACTGAGGATTTTTAAAAGCATTCTCAAGACAAAAATTTTAAAATAGAATTTTCCCCAGAAAGCATTTTTCACATAATGAATATGTACATTTTCTTAGAGTGTATGTAGCCCACTCTTCTCTTGGTAATCTTCATAAAAACGTCTCAGTGACTCAGGAATCCTAGGTGTCACAGCGCTCAAGGCTTGAGTAAAATGCCTTTTCCTAATGCAGTTGGCTTGAATGTCTTCTTCTAGAGCCAGAAGAGCTGCCTCTCTACACATAGCTATAATCTGAAATCAAACAGAAAACACACAAAACAACCAAATAAATAAAAGGAGAAAATAATCACTACTGTTTTTAAGAAACACAATGTTGTAAATATTCATCTGAGGTGAATGTTACAACTATAAGCACATTGCTAAAACTTATCTGCAAAAGTTATTCCACTTAAGTTTTCAAAAGAATAAAAAGTAACTCATACAGAACTTTCTGTTCTTTCCTTCCTTCCCAAGAAATGTATTAAGTCCTCAGAACCAGGAGTGCAACAATAAGATGTGCCATTTGCTCTGATTGTAAAGGTAGGTGGATATGCGCACACATACTTTTAACACAGGATGGCGAAGGGTGAGTATTTGTGGTGACAAGGGAGAGCAGAGAAAGGAGATTTTTTTTTTTTTTTTTT